AAATGTAGGACATGGACTGCAAAGTCTAAGACTTAACCGCTCTGTCTTACTTGCCTGGAGCCAGGCAACAGGACTGTGTCCACAAAACTAGCTGTTACTGCCACAAACACTGGGAGAACCATGCTGACAGCCAGCCCCACCACAGATACACCAGGATTTCACAGAAGACAAAAAGGTTGAGGTTTTAGTTACTTTTAAAACTGGGCTGCAAATTAATCTACACCCAATGTATGTGACTATACATGGGCAGGCAGTAACATTAAGTGGGTAATGACTTGAAGGAAATGAGAGGAATGCTCTACCAAGAAGTCCCACACAATCTTTTAAATGACAAATATTCAAATTTTGAAAACTGTCTTTTGAAATGAATGCAAAAGAAAATAAGTCTGAAAGACTTCAAGAACTCTGTTCAATATAATGACCAATCATGTCTCCAGAAAGTTAATGAAGAAGTATTTGCCACCTAGGTAGTTGCATGGTACCATGGAAAGAGGACTGGTCAAACCCAAATTCAACCCAAATTCAACCTGGGCAGAGGGCCACAATTTTCTCACCTTTAAAATGGATATCACAGCAGTACCTACCTCACAGAGTTATGGTGAGGAGCAAATGAAATCTTTGTAAAGTGTTTACTTAGGAAAGCACCCGGCACACACTGAGTAGGTGATACATAAATGCTTATTCCCATCTTTCCCTTTCCAATTCCCTCCTCATTAGCAGAGAGAACTGGAGGTCCCCAAAGAGGCTTGTATTTTCATATTGGCCAATATGAGAATTTGTTTTGCTTGATTGGAATGATCTGTTTGGGAGAAGAAAGGGATGGGGAGGGCACAGAATGGGAGGGAGAGAGGAAGGCAAAGTACAATTGCAATACTCAGAAAAGAAGAAAAGGAAAATACAAAATGGGGACACAGAGACAAGGGTAGTATAGTCAGTACAGTTAAATATAATACAGCATACAGTTAAAAAAAATAAAGTGTATATAGTAAGATATTCAAAGATATTCAGTTTCACATCTTTGTATGTTGAAATATTAATGTTTACGTTTAAGCTCAAAACAAAACCAAAAAAAAGTGTTTTGAACTGTACCTCATTATTTCCCACAATCTATTGTCTTATAATAATTCCCAAATATATCACAGGCTAAAATTAGAATGAAGAGGCAGACTTGGATTCTGTTTTGAGTCTGACATAACTTGTTATATGACTGTACTTCACTGAGCTTCAGTTTCCTCATCTGTAAAAAGCAGGGTCAGAACTATATGATACTGTGGAAAGAGTGCTGGATTTAGTCCAAGAAGACCTGGATTTGCATCCCAGCACTAAAATATTAAACAGAAAACTAAGTACATATTTAAAAAATCACATGCAGAAAAAAAATTTTACATTAAAACAACTTAATTTGTTCTATTTTGATCCAAAATCTGGCCTCCTCCTCTTTCTCCCAGTGGTATTCCATAGTCCCCAAGCCAACATTTATATTTTCTATCAACATATTTTAAGCGTGAAATATTCATCATCAAATTATCTTGGTAAATTCTAGACATGATAACCAAGAATTCTTTCTTTTCTGAAAATCTTATTCTATACTTCATGCTTGGGGCTACCATTAATTAAACTATTTCTGTGCTATCTCCACACCAACTTTAGGGTATGAGGGAAAGGAAGCAGAGAAATGATGGAGAAGAGAAGAAATACAACAGTAATAATCAAGGTAAACACTGCACAGCATGTATCCTTCCCTCTTCACTTTCCAGAGCTCAACTTATTTCAACAATTCAAGGGAAAATATCTCATTTAATACGACAAAGGGCTTCCCAAAACAAAAGAAACATCTTCCTTCTGATTCTATTTTCCCATGTAGAGGAAACACAACTAAAAAGTGAACAAAGATGCATTGTACAAGAGCAGAGGTCCTTCTGTAGCCTATGAATGTGAATATTCACAGCCAAACTGCAATACTGATTACCAACAAAATCTCAAAAGTAATGAGGAAAAGGAGTGTCTCATGGGATAGGCTGCTGAGCCCCATCATGACAGCCTCAGTGACAACCCAGCCACCCTAGTGCCATGTGCTAGGCCCTGGATGGCATTACCCAAAGCCTCCAGGGATGTACACAGCCAGGTCACTCTATTTCAGTCTGCTTCACTTCCTACCCTTTAGAAAGTAAAAAAGTTCTTTCTGGGCAGGGAGGCAAAGCTGAGCAATGGGTTTGTTTAGAAAGCCCAGTATCCTCAGAACTAAATACCCAGATCCTGTAAACATGTATGCTTATCTACTAAGAACTACTGGCTGAATATAAGATATCTACCAACAAAGGCTAGGTTTCCTGTAGCCTGAACAAAAACTAATTAAAATTAAACAGAAACAGACACATGAGCCATCTTATAACTAAAAGAAGCCTTCGTGTCTTAGACGGACAAAATTCATAATTACGTCCCTCTTTGGGGGAAAGGGGAGTGTTAGGAGGTGGAACCAGATTAATTATTCCCACCGTAACAACTTTTTTTAAAAAAAAGTCAGTGCAATGACTTTTAAAATTTCCAGCAATCTTGATAGAGATGTCTTTGCCAGCTTTTCTTAGAATTCTGTCCTCCATATTGTGAGGTCCATGGCAACAGTAATAAGAAAAAAAAAAAGGAGCTCTATTCAGCCACTGTGGTTGCCATTGGAATGGATGACATTAGTATTTTTGTTGTGTTACCTAAACTCAGAATTTGCTCCACCATCAACACCTGGCTACTATGACTTGTTGAAAACTTCACAGGTAGCTCAATTTTAAAGAAAGTCCCTTTCCCCCTCCTTAAGTTCAAAAGGAGATTTATTGAAGTCTGCATGACATTTGTGGTTGGAAACCATCCTAAGGCTCATCTTCCATTACAGCTGAGTCTTAAAAAAAAAAAAATTAACAGAGGATAGATCTGTTACTGGTCTTTAGCCAAAGGGCTCTCCCACACCAGCCTCCATTCTCTACTCTCAGACAAAAATCAGACCTGAGAGGAAGGGAATATATAATCATTGTTATAACTACCATCCAACCATCCAGTAAAGTTGTCCAGTGCTGACAAACATCTGCATGGGTAGGCCAGACACTGAGAAACTCAAAGGGCACACATTGAGGAGCGAATAATTTAGATGAATTATAAGGATGGGGGGGGGGGAGAATAAACAAGATCCTCTCTCTATTTTGCTGACCTGATTCAAAAAAATATTTCCCTATGTACTAAACCAACATGCTGGGTTCCATTTGCTGCTACTATTCCCTCCTTCACTTCTAGCTGTATAGGACTTATTCCCAAAACCAGGATTTAATTCTAAACATGCTGTTTAGTCAAGAGAAAGGTAGTCTAGTGTCTCAGACACATAGGAAGTATAGATTTTAAGGAATCGCACGTCACTATTTATAAAGCTCTTTAAGATTTACAAAAATACATTATCTTCTTTGACCCTCAACAACCCTGTTAAGCTATCATCACCATCATTACTATTCTTAACACTTCCTGTACATAACAGATACTCCTTTGATTGTTTATCCCCATTTTATAGATAAGAAAACTGAGGCTCAGAGGGAATTAAATGAAGTGTCCAGGGCCACAAAGGTAGTAAGTTTTTGAGGCAAGATTTGAACCGAGATCTTTTTTATCCACTATACCACACTGCATCTTATAGGTTCCAGATCCAATCAAAAGAATAACAGGAGATGGGTCAACTCTTTTAAACTACATTTCCGCATCAGAAGGAAGAAGCATACATGTATTAGCTTGTGAGATCTTACTGAAACTACAAGAGTCAAGGAGGCATCTTTGGGACTTTCCTCCCTTACCAAACAATACCACCCACCAATCCCAATCCCTCCCACCCCCAAAAAATAGCGTGTTCCTGCCATAAAAATGTAATCATAGGGTCAGCTTTTCCACAAGAGATTTCCAGGCTGCTCCCCTTATAGCTAAGAAACTAGGAGGGAATCAGACACATATGCTTTCCTTGACTTGTTATCAAGGTTCACATGCGTGACTACTAGATTTCCTCAAAGCACAGGCATGTGCTACCAAAGAGGGGGGAAAAAAACCATCTAGCAAGAGTTCAGGAAGCAGAACAGGAGTCACCTGGCCTTCTTTCTACTCCCTACAAGAATAACCCCACCCATCAGCTCAAGTTTCTCCCTCTTCTCCACAAATGCGGGTGGAATGGGAGTCCCACTGAAAGCCACTGCCCCTGATGGTGAGATAATCCACAACCTCAGATCTCCTCTGGTCCAGGCGACTTAGCCTTGGCCAAGTGGCTCCAACACCACAATCTATGTTATCAAAGGAAAAATTAGGGTGCCAGAATAAACTCAGAAAGGACGCGTACCAAGGGCAACCAGTCTTCTCAGGGTTTCATGGAATCCTGTACAATTCAGGCAGCGCAACAGTTAACAGACCTTTTTCTGTCTATACTTAAAGTCCCTTGCCCTGCTTAGTGAGGTAGAAAGAACTATGTGCTTAAAAAAATTAATCTCAAAGCTGTAAAGGATGACAAGTAACATCAAAGTGTCTTCCACACCAATGGGTGATACCCATCTAAGACAGGGGCTTGTGCTTTACTCTATGTCCTTGGAAAGGTAGGGAAAAGAAGGAACAAAGGGCTGTCTGCCAGTGTGGACTGGATCTTCAAGGACAAATCCCAAGACTTCTATCAAGTAGACACCATTACAAACTGAAGAAGATGTGGCCTTCAGCCAGAAACTCAAGAATGACTGGGGCTCAGTGTAAAAGAGATGCGAAACAGAGAGAGGACCAACTGGCCTCTGACAACCACTGCACTGGAAAAAAAGGGGCCGTAAGTGGAAGCCCCTACCCACTCACACTGACAACTTCAGGTACCTGCAGGGAGAAATGAAGGAAGAATTAAAGAGTTTCTCCTAGGGAGCTGCAAAGGTCCCAACCATTTCTCCAAATTCAGCAGCGTTACCATGACGAGAGAAATTCTTCCCCACGTCAGAGAAGAGTCAACTTACCATTTACCGTTTTCAGGCTCCCATTAATACCGTCACCGTGCTGTCTCTTCTGTGCATTCTTGAACTCCTTCAGAGACAAATAAAGGACTTTGCGGACCACCCTTTCTTCTGACCATGGAATCCCATCACTGTCATCCTGAAGATAATAAAGAAAGAAGAGAGGGGGAGGGGGGAATAAAATAAAAGGGGGAGTTACTCAAAAGAACTAGGCAAGTTTTCAGATTCAGATCCTAGAAAATTTATCAAAGAAGAACTGTGTCCAATATCCATATCCAGGATGTCAGAAAGCATTATAACACAAGAGGGATGGAGGCTGTGGCATTTCAGCCATCTAGGCGTCAAAGCCAACCACATGGCCACATCCATTCTGTTGATCAGGGCTTTTCATGGCATGGATCATTTAAAAGTAAATAAAACATTAACCGCAGCAAACTTCCCTTAAATACCTGATAATCAGTAATACCAAGTATTTTATGAGCAGGGTTTAGAAATTGAGGTGTATTATCACCAATACTAACAAGTTCTAAAGCATCTTCTTTTTTTAAACTGGGAAAAGTAAAAAAAAAAAATTTTACAAGCATTTTGGAGTACCTGCTACATGCCAGACGTTGTACTAGGTTCTGGGAACACAAAGATAGAAAACAAAACACACACACAACTAAAAAAAAAAATCAACCATCATTCTCTTAAAGAGTTTCCATTCTCCTGGGGTACTCAGTATAGTGATATGGAGACAAGATGTACAGAGATAAACATACACAAATAGAAGCTGTCATGGGGGGCCAGGGAGGGAGAAGGCACCACAGTAACAACTGAACAAAGCCGGGACCAGGTGAGGCCTCCAGGGGAGGTGGCATCTAAACTATATTTGGGGAGGGAGCAAGCTAAGGATTCTACAATGTATGAATTTGATGACCTCCGAGTTCCCCTCAAATTCTAAACTTAAAATCCTAGCAAAGTGTTTCCTCCACTATGCTAAACCTGTTTGCTACAATGCCTCTTTTTTTTTTCCAAGCTAGATATAGAAGACAGCCTGAACTATAAAACGCAGGAGAAGGAATAATTTGACTTTCCCCTCCCTCATAAAGAGCAAGAGAGTGACACTGTTGAACTTGTGTTTCAGGGTCATCAGTCTGGCAGCCGAGTGGAAAAGGGAGTGAAGAGGGTAAGGCTGGGGGAACCAATAGGAACCTATGGCTATAATCTACAGAGTCAGCTAGGTGGCGCAGTGGATAGAGTGCTGGACTTGCAGTCAGGGAGACTTGAGTTCAAATCTAGTCTCAGAAACTTGGCTCTGACTACATCTGTTTTTTCACAGGCAAAACAGGGACAATAAATGCACCCAGTTCTCCAGGGTTGTTTATGAGGATAAAATGAGATATTTGTAAAGTTCTTTGTAAACTTTAAGGTGTCACTTAAATAAAAGCCATTATTATGGCTGTCGTTAGTATTATTATCATTGCCCATGCAAGAGGTGATAAGGGCTTGTAGAGGGTCATGTGACTGGAGAAAAGCAGTGTGACATGAGAGATGAAGATGAAGGGTGGCAGTACTTTTGATGGAACTAAATTAGGAAAAGAAACAAAACAGCAACTCAAGAAAGAGATGAAAGCCTGGGGGGAGAAAAAAGGTATTGCAGCATGGTGGAGAGAACGATTTGCTAGGATCCTAAGTTTAAAATTGGAAGGGAATTCTGAGGCCATCTAATCCAGATAGCTCCTTTGAAAATTTAAGCAGAAGGAAGTTAGGTGAGTTTTCCAACATGAAACCAAACACTAGAAAAACACATCTTAAAATCCCAACTGAATTCACAAAAAAAGAAATTATGAAAATCAAACACGAGATTAACAGAGCTGAAAGTAAAAATCACATAGGTAGCACAAAAGATGGGATTTGAACTCCCGTCTGCTGACTCCAAACCCAAGGTTCTTTGATTCCAGACCCAGGGCTATTTTCACTATGGTTGTTCAATCACTTCAGTTGTGTCCAACTCTCCATGACCCTATTTGGAGTTTTCTTGGCAGACATACTATAGTGGTTTGCCACTGCCTCCCCCAACTCATTTTACAAATGAGGAAACAGAGGCAAACAGGGTTAAGTGACTTGCCCAGGGTCATATAGCTAGTATACCTGTGAAGCCAGATTTGAAATAAAAAAGATGAGTCTTTCCGACCCCAGGTCCAGCCAGCAGTGGCACTGTATCTACACTGAAATCATTAAATTAGTCAAATTTTAAAATATGTGTGTGTGTGTGTGTGTGTGTGGTGTGTGTGTGTGTATATATATATAATATATATATATATATATATATACATATATATATATACACACACACACACATATATATATAAAACCAAATAAGCAGTATTAAAAATGAAAGATTTCACAACAAATGAATTGTTAAAAACAACTTTGCCCAGTTATATGCCACAAACTGACAACTTTAAAAAGCTGAATTTTTACAAAAACATAAAATATCCCAATTAACAGAAGAGAATTTAAATAAACCAATTTCAGAAAAACAAGGCATAAATGCACTCCCAAAGAAAAATACTGGGACCAGAAAGATTAACAAATGAATTTTATCAAACATTCAAAAAATAATTTATTCCAATTATTCTGCAAAATGTTTGCAAAAAGAATAGAAGAGATCCTACCAAATTCCTTCTATGATTCAAATATGGTCTTAACACCAAAACCAGGGAGAGACAAAAAAGAAAGAAAACTAGAGACCACTGCACATAATGAATATTAATATGAAATTTAAATAATTTAGCAAAGAGGATAAAGTAGGATCAAAAAGACTGTTACAAGTTAAATAAAGTTAGTCAGTCTGTCATGGCTTAGTGAACGGAGCTGACCTCAAAGCAAGGAAGCCTTGGATTTAAGTCCCATCTCTGACATATTAACTGTGTAATCCTAGATTATTTGACCATTCAGTGTCCTGGGCAACAACGTCAACCTCCAGTGGTTTGTCATTTCCTTCTACAATTCATTTTACAAACTGAAGCAAAAGGGTAAAGTTACTTGCCCAGGGTCATGCTGCTAGTACATATCCAAGGCCAAATTTGAACTCAGACCTTCCTGCTTCCATCTATTTGGCCATCTAATTCCTGACTCCATTTACTCTATCTGCTTGGCCACCTAGCATACAAACCCAACACCACTTTACAGAAGAGAAAACTGAGAGGAAAAAAAATTAAGTGATTTGCTCAGGGTCACAGAGCTAGTGAGTGTCTGGGGTCTGAATTTCAACTCAGATTTTCCTCAGAATACAGCATTCCATCCACTGCACCACAGAAAAGAACTCATGGTTGCGTGCGTGCGTGAAGATTACAAATTTTAAAAGCCCAAAACACTTTTTAACATGAAACTGTACTGACAATCTACTCAGCTCTGTTCTGTTCGAAGGCCCCAGGCTTCATCCTGACCTCAGTTACTAAAAAAGAAACATCCTCTTCACCTAACTAGTGACTTTAGGGGGGGAAAAAAGTCAACCATCATGTGTTTAGGTAAGTTAAACCAGGTAACATGAAGGATTAAAAAAAATCCTACAAAGGAAAGGATTTATGATATTTACTGACAAAACACTTACTTCTCTATTCTTCTATCTGTAAAATGGCTTACCCAAACCACTAGGCAAACCTATGACCAAGATGTGAGATAGAAGTTCTAGTACTAAGATGAAGGTGAGCCTCTGGAGTGTTCTGTAAGAATCTCTGATCTTGGTTAAGGCTTGATTATAACATCCCTCTACCTGAATGAGGTCACCCATTTACATGCCCCAGCCCCCCAGTGTCATCCCACCCCCTTCCTCGTGTACGTACATGTGTACAGACACACAGATACACACACCCCACAGACACATGAAACACTAAACCAGCAAATCGCAGAATTCAATCTGGTAATAAATTGACCTTGGTGCTATGATTCTACAAGCACACCTCACAAAGGTGACAATAATCCACAACATTAAAAATAAAACCAGCTTTTGGGGATGCAGAGTCATGATGAATCACCTCTCAATAAATCTTTGGCTCCCTAGGAGTGGTTTCCTAGACATATAAACCAAAGATGAAGGTATTCCAGAAACATTCCTCCATTTAACCCTATGAAAACATCCACCCACTCACATCTCACTGAAGTGGGGAAAACAACGTAAAAGAAAACTCTCCCCGTGTCTGGATGTTAACCAAGAAATACTTACAAACTCAACTTGTACTTAGAAGCTACCACCACAATGAGTGTTACTGCTTATAACTCAACAGAAAGGCCGACACATAAGGGGCTCAGTAAATACCACATAATTTTTCCCTCAAAAAAAAAAAAAATTACACCATCACTTCTCAAGTTAACCATCTTATTAAGCATCATATGTAGATATGTGTGTGCAAGTGCTTGTATGTATATATGGCCTATTGCCAGGCACTGAGGACACAGAGAGAAAAGGTAAACATTATTAAGTTTACATTCTGCCAGAGACCCCTGGTTCATATGAAGAAACAGGAGAAGGCCTAAGAAAAGGTATAGGGAGTGGCACCTGAACTGAGCAGTAAAGGAAAGCAGAGATGCTGTTAAAGGTGAGGAGGGAGTATATTGTAGGCATGAGGGAGGGAGGGAAGGAGGGAAGCAGGGAAGGAGGGAGGGAGGGAAGGAGGGAGGGAGGGAGGAGGGAGGAGGAGGGAGGAGGAGGAGAAGGAAGGAAGGAAGGAAGGAAGGAAGGAAGGAAGGAAGGAAGGAAGGAAGGAAGGAAGGAAGGAAGGAAGGAAGGAAGGAAGGAAGGAAGGATTTAATAAGCCTAATGGGAGAGATGACACATGGATGGCTTGAGCAACAAGTGGAGGGAAAAATCCTATGGTCTTTAGAATGAAGTGATAAAGCAGATGGTGATTCCTCTTCTTACATGTCATTCCCACTGGTAATATCAATTTCTGATGTCAGACCCCTTTGCAAGGCTGAGGACTTTGGCAACAAGAACTTTCTTTTCTAGGTCTTCAAGAGCTAGAGTACCTGCAGGCTGCTATAATAAGCCAGTTTGTCAGGAAGGAAAGATGTAGTCAGAGAAATCTCTCCTTCAACCTGCACTCACTAGCTGCAAATCACTCTCCCACTCTAAATCTCATTTCTTCATCTGTA